CAGGAACCTCAGTGTTCATATTTAGACATGCCAGTGACCCCTGAACATTATGTCAGTCCTGGAAATTCATGCCCTTACCATGTGACCGCATCCTGCATTTTCACTGACAAACTTTCCTTCCTTCCCCTCTCTTCCTTCTCTTTGCCGCCTCTCTCTTGGCAAATCTTTTATAGAGAACTGTATTTATTTTTACAGGCATGTAGGATAAAACACTGCTCTCAGATGCGCCAGTGGGAATTTGGAGGGGGAAAAAAGTAACCGCTTCATCTGCTTTGGTAGTTGGCACCAAATTTGCACCTGAAAGGCGATTTTGGCACATTGTCTTTTTTAAGGGTAATTCTGGGGCCAATCATCTCCCACTCTGTGCATGGATCCTCCCCTCGCATGGGGTGGTGATGGTGGCAGGTGAGGGGCAGTTCTAGCCAGCCGCATCTGCCTCTTTCTACAGGAGCCCTCGGCAGGCTGGCTGCAGCTCCAGCAATGTGAGTGGAGAACTTGATGGTCTTGGAGAGGGATGCAGCGATGCTACTGGAAAGATAATATAGCCCCAGGCCATGTTATGTGGCGTCCCCCTCTGCTGTTGAGAGCCGCTTATAAAGAGGAATCCTGGGGGCAACTGCCTGTGGAAGCCCTTTTAGTGAAGCTTGATGAGCTCAGGGGAGGTGGGAGCCCCCAGGGACCCAGAGTTGTGGCGGAGACCCAGACCCAGATCCACAGAGGTACTTAGGCACCTAAGTCCCAATTTTGGCTGCACTCATCATCATCATCATCATCGCATTGGTCGTTGGGGCACCATTATTGATGAGCAATCAACCAATCGTCTCCACCCTTGACGATTGTGTGTCAGTGCTTGAGTCTCCGCGAAGTCTATTCCTGTCCACTCTTTTATGTTGTGAGTCCATCTCTTCTTCTGTCTACCTCTTCTTCTCTTCCCCTGTACTGTCCCTTGGAGGATGATCTTGGATAGGCCAGATGATCTTGTTACATGGCCATACCACTTCAGCTTGCACTTCTTCACGGTCGTCAGGAGGTCTTCATATGACATAGTGCGTTGGATGATGATGTTGCGGACCTCTTCATTAGTGACATGGTCGAAGTAGGAAATTCCCAGGATTTTACGGAAGGATCTCATCTTCACTACCTGTATTCTCCGTTCAAGTTCTGCCGTAAGGGCCCATGTCTCGCATGCATACATAAAAATGGAGATGACCAGTGCGTGCAGCAGTTTCAGTTTGGATTCCAGGGAGATGTTCTTGTTCCTCCAAATTGGCTTTAACTTTGCCACTGTTGTTTGCGCAGCTCTCACCAGAATTTCTACCTTTGATCCTTCATTAGTGATGATTGCCCCAAATACTTGAACCATTTCACTGTCTCCAGCTCTTGTCCACTGACAGTGATATGTGAGCTGATCCCGTCACGTTTGTTTGTCATCAGCTTGGTTTTCTCTGCACTGATTTCCATGCCGTATTTTGAGGAGGTTTCATCTAATCGTTTCACAAGATTAGCAAGTTCATCTTCGCTACCTGCCAGGCCGTCAATATCATCAGCAAACCGAAGATTTGAGATTGTTCGCCCCCCAGTGCTGACTGTGCATATGTGATCTTCCAGGGCATTAGTCATTATGCGCTCCAAGTAGATGTTGAACAGTGTGGGCGAAATAAGGCAGCCTGGCTGGATTCCAACAGTGCTGCGAAACCACTCTCCTATTGTGCCATTGACGAGAACTGCACTGCTGGCCTTGGCATAGAGTTGTTTAATGGTAAGAATAAGCTTATGACCAACATTGTACTTCTCCATGGTTCCCAGCGAGCTTCATGCCATACTCTGTCAAACTTGAAGTCAACGAAGACATGGTAGATGTCCTGCTGGTGTTGCAAGTACTTCTCACATAGAACACGAAGATTGAAAATCTGTTCTGTGGTACTTCTTCCAGCATGAAAGCCAGCTTGTTCTTCAGTGATGATATTCTCCATTTGTGGCTGCACTACCATCCACCAAAACCAATAGGCTCTTAAGTTTCTGCCTCTGGGTATTCGCACTGTTGCCTCACTTTTAGCATCCAGATGCCTGTCTCCCACCTAAGCAGGAAAGCAATTCACAAACCAGGGGAAGACAGATGTTGCATGCAGGGCCCAGTCCACTAGGTGTGCTGAAAGGCCGCTGACTGAATCAGGTCCCATTAAAGTGCCACCAACACTGCCCACCTTATAAGTTTTTCCCAGTGGTTAGAGCACTTGCATGGGAGATCCAGGTTCATTTGCCCTCTCTCCAGTAGAGGAGACAGGACCTCTCAGGAGGATGCTCTAACCATTGAGCTAGGGGATAGTCTGATGTGGGGCTCCCTCATTCTCTCCTATTGAAGCTGTTCCATGGGGGATAAATAATGAGAGTGATTGGAGATGGAGGACTGGACCCAGGGTCTCCCACCAGGGTGCCCTAACCACTGGACTACAGAGTCCTTCTCACTCACACTTACTCCCTGGCCCAATGACTGTGTACGTATTTATCCACAGTAGAACAGTCATTGGACCAGAGGGAGAGAGTGGGAGGAGGGAATGCATGTAATGGGATTTCTATTAAAGCTCCCAGAGGCTTTTGGCCATGGGAGACTATAAGTTAAAATGGATCATTAGCAGCTTGCCCCTGCTCCTTCACGACTCATCCATCACACCTTTGCTCTTTTCCTGCCCTTTCTTTTCTAGCTATTTCGACTATTCCACGCTGCTGGGCCATCTTTTGCTTCTAGCTTCACATGCATTGTTGGGAGAGCAGCACCTCCCTTCATGAAGTGACCCTGCTATGATGGTGCACTCATTGGGCCACAGACAGAGGGGAGGGTAGAAAAATCCCCCACCCCCGAGAGTGGTGGAACCCATAGTGTGGGGTGGGGGAAGCTGTGGGTCTGCTGCATTCTCCCTGCTTCCTCCCAGGCTCCACCAGGACCCCGGCTTGCTCTGAACAGTGCAGCCAGGGGCTAGGAGAATGAAGACGTGGAATGGCTGCTCTATGCACCTTCAGGTGCAGATGGATTTCCAAACACAAATCTGCCCAGAAGTTGCTGCTGGTCAGGCTGCAAATCCTGTGTGTATGCGTGAGTGCGTGCACGCAGGGGTGGTGGATATTGTGGGCATTACAGGTGTGCGTGCTCACAGCAACCCAAGTTGCTGAAGAGGTGTGCTGCTGCATTTTGTCCTCGTATTTTCCTGAGGACATACAGTTTCATATCCAGATAAATAAAAAGACCATATGGTTACTGGGGTTGTTATGAACACTTTTTGATGGCTTGGCTACGTGTTAGGTACGCACACACCCCTTTACAGAGATTTTTAACATCACAATGTTAAATAGAACCTAAGTAATCATCATCACCTAAGTAATAGTGTAGTCTCTTACAGTGACTGTCCTCATTCAAATATTTGCAACAGTTACCTTATTTGCATTACACACCTACTGCTGCTAACCCCCAAACCAATCATGGAATTATAACAGTAGTTGCAAATATCACATGTAAGAAGTGCTAGGAAAACTTCACAGGATGTATTAGGCTTGGCTGTGTTTAGATATTTGCCATACAACCTGTTACCAAGGGATAACTTTTTAAGTGGTAGGGATTTGGTGTGGAGCGTTACCCAAAAAAATGGGCATCCTCTAGGACAGGGGGTTTCAACCTTTTTCTTTCTGAACCCGACCCCCCAACATGCTATAAAAACTCCACGGTCCACCTGTGCCACAATAATTGGTTTTCTGCATATAAAAGCCGGGACTGGCATTAGCGTAGCAAGCCGGGCAATTGCCTGGGGCTCCACGCCACAGGGGCTCCCACGAAGCTACATTGCTCAGACTTCGGCTTCAGCCCTCAGAGGTGGGGCTCAGGGCCATGGGCTTCAGCCCGAAGCAATGGGGCATCGCCTTTCTACCCTGGGCCCCAGCAAGCCTAATGCTGGCCCTGGTTGCCCTCCTCCAGAAACCTCCTCCGGCCCCCCCTCACGGTTCCCCGGACCTTTGGTTGAGAACCAGTGCTCTAGGATAATAAAAGAATAGTTAGTCATTTTAAAGGAAGCATCCAACTGTCTGCTGAGCACGAAGGCTTAGTCCAGCTCGCCTCCTGCCAGGATCTACTTTCAAAATCGCACTGGCTGGGAGTCTACGTCTCCTTCAGGGCCCAATCCTGCAAGATTTGAGAACCCTCCACTCCCAGGAAAGTCAAGAGATATTCAGCATCTTAAAGCTGCCTCTCTCCACTCCCATACCTTGCTGGGGCCTGGCCAGTAAGCGGGTGCTGAGATCTGTTTGGAAGTGGGAGTCCAGCAGCCAGGCTCAACCCTTCAGCAGTCCTGGCCGTTAGCCCAGAGCCTGAGCTTTGGCATCCCTGCAGCAGGTGGGAAGAGAGGGAGATCGGGTAGGATAATGAGGTATGAGGCGGTGTGAAGAGCTGGGGAGCAGTGCGTACTAACTTAAAAGTCATTAACTCCTCTCCCCCTGCAGGAGGTAATTGAACAATATAAAGCCCTGGTCCATGCAAAAATCACTGCATGCCGGTAACTTTCTGTAGGGCAGTAACTCCACTGACTTTCAGGGTCAGGTAATGGCAGGCCTGGGCCCTAAGAGCGTGACCAGGAGTTGCCCTGAGAGCAGGGGGAAGTGTGCCAGCTAAGACTGGGAGCAGGAGGCCGTAGTAACCTGTCCCTTCCCCGCTCCTCCTGCCTTTTGCAAGCCAACGTTGCACCTTTTCCCTGGGCAAGGCAGAAAGGAACCACAGTCCTGCCTGAGTGGAATATTAATTCCCACGGACTGAGCCTCTGGCTGCCAGAGCAGCAGCTGCCTGGCTTGGGGGCTGCTTGTTGTTTGTTTGCAGTAATTTGGCCTGATGTCAAGCAGCCTTTCCTAATCCCACCCCGTTTATTATACCCTTCTCCTCCCCTCCAAACAGCACAGCTCCTCTCTCCCTATTGGCTCCTTCCCCTTTCAATCCCGCCAGCATTTCCTGGATGAGACATGGCTGCAGAGGGAGAGGAGAGAGAGACACCAGCAGCGGCCAGAACAGCCTCAGCACCAGCCTGCGGCGCTGAGTCCCATTGGGGCAGCTGGCACTCCGGCCTGGAGACTGTAGGGACGCTGCACAGTGGTAAACTCCCCTTTTCTTAGTACCTAGACGGCATTGGGTCCCAGCCTTTCATCCGTCCCAATTGCACTAAAGAACAGGAACATGCCTCATGCTGCAGCATTGAGCCAAGTGGAGCACAGCAAAACCTGAGAGTAGTTAGTTAACCCCCACCCCCTTTAGTCAGGGCAACTCTGCCTTTTCCTCCCCTCCACCCCCCCTCCCCCAAATAGTGATCTGAGGCATTGCAATAAAATGCAATGTAAAAGTCGAGTGATCCAGATTGCTGCTTTCCCCTCTTTTCTCTCTGCTTTCAGGGTTTCAGTGCATCTTGCCAGATTCTCACTTGGCTATAGCTGGGGTGACCAGACAGCAAGTGTGAAAAATCGGGACAGGGGGTGGGGGGTAATAGACATCTATATAAGAAAAAGCCCCAAATATCGGGACTGTCCCTATAAAATCGGGACATCTGGTCACCCTAGCTATAGCTAAATTGTGAGTGTGTGTGTGTGTGTGTGTGTGTACGTACACCCAACCCCTGCAGAACCTGATCTCTGAAAGGGCTCTACAGATTATAAATGTGTGTGGAAAAACTGAGCCAAGCTGGGTGAGGTAATAGCTTTGAATTAAAACTGAAGAGGAATCTCTTACCTTTCACCAGAGCGGATTCCCTCAGACACTGTCTCTCTGTCCATGTATCTGAGTCTGTGAATATCTGTTATAGAAGAAATCCTGAGGCAAATGATGTGGTGGTTCCTCAGCCTCGTTATTATGGAGAGGACCAAACCCATAACTCTCTTTCAAATGACAGCTCTGCTTAGGGTAGCAGGCGTAGGTCTCAGTGGAGGTGAGTGACCTCTCTCCATTGTTCTCAGGCAGGCAGACCTGTGCAGCTCCAGGTAAATTTCCACCAGTCAGTGGTGAGACAAAATGTCTTTAATGGGGTGTGTGTTGATCTGTTGCGGGCTCAAAAATGCTGTTTGACATAGCTGCACATTGCTTTTTGAGCCCATGGCCCCTCCCCATCCCTGTGGCCGAATCTGCCTGCAATAGCTAAATAATTCAGAGGGATTCTCTGAAGGGTTTTTGACTCCAAACTGCGATGTAGCTTTAGAACTGTCAGAGAAACTCTTTTGTGTCATACAAGCTCCTAAAATAAATAAATGGACAAGAAGTGTGTCACTCCAACTCAATCTGCCCCTTCTCGGGGGAGGGGGGGGGCGCGAACCCCAATACAATATTTTTGGTTACTTTCTTTCTTTATTCTTAAAGTGAATTTAGTGCTGGTGAAAGGTGCTGTATTCATAGCACTAGAAAATGAAGTAATCTATTTATTCCTTCCCACTACCTTGCCAATGTGCCTCAAGGACCATCTGTGGGTGTAATCTGGTAGATCAGTTTCTCTGGCTTGTTCAGCCCTCCGTCTCTCTGCTAATAAGGGAACTAGTTATGGTGCTGATTTTGGTGATATAGTCCCAGTCCTAATGAAAACTAGACTGAAACCCATGGGCTACTGACCTGGGCTGGATTGGAACCAGCAACCTAGAAGAAAGCTCTGTATCCTATTACTGTTCAGATTTCTCATGGTGTGGTAGGGACTAGCAGTAAACCAATAAGCAATATGTTCAGAGGTGTGATGACATTGATAATACTGGTATGTAACTAAAAGTGTGGTGATGAGCTTTGATAATACATTAATGTACATTGAAGTTATCAATAAACTTGGTAAAACAAATTGTTGGCCAAACGACAAAATAAGACCAATAGAGGGGGTTAGGGAATCTATTTTCAACACTGAACTCTTTTTAATGGATAGATCAATATATACAGGTGTATGTAAGTGTTCCTATTGTCTATTTTTTATCACTATGTAACTGTTTGGCCATCATTGAGAAGCTAATGTTAGGCTCATATGCTGAGAACTTATTTTCTGTTTTCTGTTCTAGAAGTATCACAAATCATCCTATAATGGAGGCAACCAGACAAACGAGAATTTCTCGACCGCACAAGATAAGTGAATCCTCCAAGGTTAGTGAATTCTGCATTGCTTGCTAAAACTTGTAATTAAAATGATGATTACTTTGAAAGAGGCGCCTCTCCTTTTTTAAGGGGGGGTGAGACAACCATGATGAAACAACTGGGATATTTAGTTCCTAAGTATATAATGTAGCATGTAACAAGGTGATTTTAAAATGTAAGTTTATTCCATTGGCTGCAATTAAAAAAACTGCAGCAAATAGGCCATCTGTTCAGAGTGATTCATGATTTTTAAAAATGGCACATACTGGCAACACGTAATCCTTCTCTGTATCTAGAGGTTTTTCTCCAGCAATTCAAAGAGGGTATATTTAATTTTGTTGCTGAATTGAATTTTTTTAAGATTTGTTAAAGAGACAAGTTAAATTTTATACTCAGGCTTAGGTTTTGTATGAATTCGAACCCTGATCCTGCAAACACTTGCACATGTGAGCACTCTCTGTGAACTCAGTGGCACTGCTCACAAACATAACGTTCACTTTCTATGTAAGGGATAAGGGTGCTGTTGGGATCTGTTTCTGCATCAATGCACAGCTACATTGACTTCAGTTGGGATCCCACGGTAGTCTATACTAGTAGATTCTGATGCAGAAATGGAGACTAAGTGTTGTAAATCCTTAATGTTAATAATGATTCCATTAATTTTATTTAATCTTAGTGAAAATGGGGGAGGATTGTATTTCAATATTGCTCTGCACACTATGCCCTTATGCTAGTACAAGGGAGCCAGAAAAGCTAAAATCGTCAGTTTCAATATCTTTGTTGTCAAAGTTGAATGAAAAGCAAAGAGTAAAGCATTAATAATAGTCCAGAGCAGGGGTCGGCAACGTTTGGCACGCGGCTCACCACGGTAAGCACCCTAGCGGGTCGGGCCAGTTTATTTACCTGCTGACGCGGCAGGTTCGGCCGATCGTGGCTCCCACTCGCCGTGGTTCGCCGTCCCGGGCCAATGGGGGCGGCGGGAAGCGGCGCGGGCGAGGGATGTGCTGGCCGCGGCTTCCCGCCGCCCCCATTGGCCCGGGACGGCGAACCGCGGCCAGTGGGGGCTGCGATCGGCCGAACCTGCCGCGTCAGCAGGTAAATAAACTGGCCCGGCCCGCTAGGGTGCTTACCCTGGCGAGCCGCTGCCGAACGTTGCCGACCCCTGGTCCAGAGTAAAATGGATCTTCAAACTTTTCTCGGCTATAATAACTACAAGCGTTGAGAAACAGGTAAATAAACATTTTAAAAATACATGACTTTCAATCTTGTCCCTTTACCACTGCGCAGATCACATGTAGCATTTAAAAACTGTAGCATAATAATAATCACTTTACAAATCTATAATCTCAACAGCATTGTTTTGTCCTTTTGCATATGCAGTTGCTATTATTATTTATTAACTTTAGAATTACTAGTTAGTATTAAACCTGTTATACAGAATATAACTAGCATGGGGAAACTATTAGTTTTTAATGTCAGAGTCGTCTTGGTCTTGGCTTTTGCAGCTATCCGTTTTTCTCAATGTTCTAAGAGTGAACAGATGACTTGGCAAGCAGGTGAAGTGTATTAACGTATTTTGAGTCATTACTGCATAGTCCCGTGTGTGTGCTCAGTTTATGCTCGGTGTTCAAAGTGGCAGCACTTCTCCACTGAGACAAGAAGTCAGGGAATACAAGTTGTCATAAGTGGCATTCATGATTACCCTGCTGACTCTGCAGCACGTTTAATAAATAGGAGCCTTTGGTAACTTGTAAATTCTGCTGTAAAATCTCGTTATGCAAGACGATGGTATTAAAGAATGTAAGAGAGAGAGATGATAATCCTGTTACAAAGGGAAGAGAGCATATATTATTTTTAGTTTAATCCAATATCTATACATCTGAGGACTTCAGAATAGGGTGTTACAAGCTGTCTGCTATTATCTGGTCATTATCTAATGAAAGTTTGTTGTCTTGCAGAACCTGCCCAAACTTACTGGTTTACCTTTTGGAGACTCCATATAGCACACTCGTGTCATTGCATGCTCTCTTATTTATTTGACGTTACTTATGACTGCTTTTGAAAAATGCTTTAACAAAGATAAAAACTTCCTAAAGTTTTAAATACATTCCACTTGTCATTGGGGGTTCACCTTGGAGTCTGCTGACAGCATTTTAACATTTCTATGATTAATTAGACCCTTTCAGTGCTATTTTTGTTATTTATTACTGGTATTACAGTAGTGCCTGGAGACCTTGACTGAGATCAGGGCCCCATGATGCTGGGTCCTGTGCAAACACATAGTTCCTGCCCCGAGGAACTTAAATTCTAAGACCTTGTCTACATGGGGAACGATTTTAATAATTTAAGGTGCAAATTTAAACCGACATGGTTATACTGGTATAATCCCCCCATTCCCTGTGTGAACACTCTTATTCCAATAGAATAGTGTATTTTTTTTATGTTGCCTAAGAAAGGGTTGAAGATGAACCTAAAAAAGCCACTCTTACATCAGAAAGTATGTGTCCACATGGCAAGTTATAGCTGTATACTTATCGATATAACTGGTAAAACTTCCCCAATTTAGGGATGCTTATTTGAATTTTCTCTAATCCCTTGCAGCACAGTTCCAGCTCTGATATAGTGCCACAGTGTAAGTAGGGGCATGGTCACAGGGCAGAATCCCAACACACAACCTTGATTTAACCTTCTCTAAATCTATAATTGTTAATACTGGTCTAGCATTTGACAGACCATGTACCACATTCTAGACCTCCGATATATAATATGCAACAATTAAAAATGAAAACTACCTTAGCTTCTGGATGATAGCAACAGTCAGTTGGGAATGGGTTACCGTCATACTAGGTGGCTCTAAACAAGGATGAACAGTATTATTATTATTTGAGTGCAGATGATGTGTGTTAGATCTGTACGGAGAGGAAGATACAATCAGTGCCCCAAGGAGCTTACAAATGAGCCATCCTGCCAAGATTTACCATAGGAGTAGCTTTTACGTAAGTCTTGGCAGGGTGACAGCTGAAATCGGACACAAACCCAGCACGACAGTTATTCTACATGGGTTGAATGATCAAACTGCAAGCATTGCTGTATGAACATTGTCCACTCCCAATATATATTTTATACCTAGTAGGTTACTTTTAAAAGACTGAATAGGTCATTTGCGGTGCAAGTCCTTATATGTACTATACCTGGTGAAAAAGAATATCTGCTCTTCTGTGAGGATGAACACTTCATCTACTGAAGGAAGCTGCTGTCTGATATAATTTCTAAGGACATAAGAATGGCCATATAGCATCAGACAAATGGTCCATCTAGCCCAGTATCCTGTCTTCTGGCAGTGGCCAATGACCGGTGCTTCAGAGGGACTGAACAGAACAGGGCAATTATCAAGTGATCCATCTCCTGTCATGCAGTCCCAGCTTCTGGCAATTTGAGGTTTAGCGACACCTGGAGCATGGGGTTGTGTCCCTGATCATCTTGGCTAATAGCCATCGATGGGCCTATCCACCATGAACTTTTCTAATTCTTTTTTTTTTTTTTAAAACCCAGTTATACTTTTGGCCTTCACAACATCCCCTAGTAATCAGCGCCACAGGCTGACTGTGCGTTGTATGAAGTACTTTCTTATGTTTGTTTTAAAGCTGCTGCCTATTAATCTCATTGAGTGACCTATCATTTGTGTGTTATGTGAAGGGGTAAATAAGACTTCCTTATTTACTTTCGCCACACTATTTATGATTTTATAGGCCTCTATCATATCCCCCCTTAGTCATCTCTTTTCTAAGATGAATAGTTCCAGTCTTTTTAATCTCTCCTCAGATGGAAGACGTTCTATACCCGTAATCATTTTTGTTGCCCTTCTCTGTACCTTTTCCAATTCTAATACATCTTTTTTGAGATAGGATGGCCAGAACTGCATGCAATATTCAAGATGTGGGTGTACCATGGATTTATATAGTGAAATTCTTTATTTCAGGTGTACAGATGGGCTGACCACCCCAGTCTAGTCCTTCAGAGTCTGAATGAGCAGAGACACCAAGGACTTTTCTGTGATATTATTCTGGTGGTGGACGAACAAAGAGTCCCTGCCCACCGGAATCTCCTGGCTGTTTGCAGTGACTACTTCAACTCCATGTTCACCATTGGCATGCGAGAGGCCTATCAAAAAGAGGTCGAACTATTTGGAGCCTCTTACATTGGTCTCAAAGCTGTGGTGGATTTCCTATATGGCAGCGAGCTGTCCTTAGATGGTGGCAACATTGATTATGTACTGGAAACAGCTCACCTGCTGCAGATCTGGAAGGTGGTTGACTTCTGTTGTGAGTATCTCGAAAATGAGGTCAGCGAGGAGAACTACCTGTACCTTCAAGAGCTGGCCTCTATTTACAACCTGAAACGCCTGGACTCCTACATCGACTCTTTCATCCTGCAGAACTTTGGCACGCTCTCGTTCACGCCTAACTTCCTGCAGAACATTTCCATCCAAAAACTCTGCCAGTATTTGGGGAGCAGCAACGTGCAGCAGGAATGTGAGCACGACTTGCTGCAGGCCGCCTTGCAGTGGCTGACGCAATACCCAGAAAGAGAAAACGAGGCTTACCAGGTACTGGACAACATTCATTTTCCCTTGATACCGAAGAGTGACCTCCTCCATCGAGTCAAGCCTGCTGTCTGCTCTCTTCTCCCGAAGGAAGCAAACTGTGAGGGGTTTATAGAAGAAGCGGTGAACTATCATAATAACATCACAGCCCAGCCAGTGCTCCAGAACAAGCGGACGGCTTTGCGTACAAATGAAGAGAGGCTCCTCTTTGTGGGTGGGGAGGTTTCGGAACGGTGCCTGGAGTTAAGCGATGATACCTGCTTCCTGGACACCAAAAAGGGGCAATGGATAACAGAAACGCCACTCCCAGCCAGGCGAAGTCACCACTGTGTTGCAGTGCTGGGAGGTTTCATCTTCATAGCTGGAGGCAGCTTTTCAAGAGACAATGGAGGGGATGCAGCTTCAAATCTTCTATATAGGTATGATCCCCGCTGTAACCAGTGGATAAAGGTGAGACTCAAGCTGTATTACATCTTATTCTTTTAAAGTCCTTAATGTTTATTTTTATCTTTGTTGGTGGAAGGAGAACACTCGTGGTGGGCACTAAAATATACCCTCATATTTATGTTTGAAAACGTAAAACACCCCTCTCAGTAGAAACAGCTAATTGGATAACTTCTGTGAACACTGTAGTTACACCAGTAGTGAAAGACTATGGGTATGTCTACACCCAGCCGCTAGTTCGGCGGCTGGCAATCGAAGTTCTGGGTTCGACTTATCGCGTCTTGTCTGGACGCGATAAGTCGAACCAGGAAGTGCTCGCCGTCGACTGCGGTACTCCAGCTAGACGAGAGGAGTACCGCGGAGTCGACGGGGGAGTCTGCCTGCCGCGTGTGGACCGAGGTAAGTTCGAACTAAGGTACTTCGAACTTCAGCTACGTTATTCACGTAGCTGAAGTTGCGTACCTTAGTTCGATTTGGGGGTTTAGTGTAGACCAAGCCTATGACATTTCAAAAATTGGTAATGATGAGGGGCCAGATTTTCAACTCCCATTGGGTCGTAGGCACCTAACCTGCTTAGACACTTTTGAAAATCCCATTTGGCACCCATCTACATCTTTAGGTGCCTAAACACCTATGAAAATCTGGCCCAAAGTGCTGTGCAAGGACCACTGTGCAAGATTTTTAAGGTCATACAGGGACCAGAGTAATTAAAGATGGAAAACATATATTGGATCGAGTCTTTCCCCTTCCATGTCTGAGTAGAGAACCCCCTCCCTCCCAATATTAAACCGATACTACATTTTGGACTGATCTTCCATTCTTGGTGTACTCAGAACCTTCTGGGGTTCAGTGTTTGAGTCTATCGCAGTATCTCTGGGCGCACAGGATATTGCGAGATGGGCCGTGTATCACTAAGGTATAGAGTGGTTTGTCTCTTAGGCTATATCTGCACTTGGAGCTAGGGGTGTGATTTTCAGTTCGCGTAGACATACCTGTGCTAGCTCTTATCAAGCTAGCTAAAAACAGTAGTGTAGCTGCAGTAGCACGGGCAGTGACTAGTTGCCCCAAGTGCATATCAGTGCAGTCCAGGTGGGTTTCTATGCAGGGCAGCTAGTCCATGCCGTTGCCTGTGCTACCACAGCTCTGCTACTATTTTTAGCATGCAAGCTCGAAGAGAGCTAGCCGTGAGTATGTCTACGCAAGCTGAGAATCACACCCTTAGCTCCAAGTGTAGATACAGCTTTAGATGCTTTCCATTATCCCTCTATGACCTTTAACGTCAATGCTAATGTATCATGTGCTACAGAAGAGCAGAGTTTTATTGTTGTCTTAATATGTATGGCAAACACAAATAGCAGCCCTTTTTAAAACTCATAGGAGGAAACAAATCTTCTTAAACCTACTCTTTAAATCAACGTACCGATTGTTTGAGGATGTCGGTATTTTATTTTATTTATTTATTTTGCAGGTTGCCTCCATGAGACAACGACGAGTAGATTTCTACCTTGCAGCCATTACAGATATGCTGGTAGCTGTTGGTGGGAGGAATGAAAATGGGGCTCTTTCTTCAGCTGAGACCTATAGCCCTCAAAAAGATGCCTGGTCTTATATAGCAGGCTTGCCAAGGTAACAGTGGTCTGTTTAGAAAACCATGTTTTCCTTAAAGAAAAGAACTCGCCAAGATCCACTGTGTTCAGTCCTATATGTGAGTATCCTGGGAGGGAAAAAGAGGAATAATCTGAGGCCATGATATCTGAGCAGCTGTCTCCTCGAGGCCATGAATTTGAGATCCACTGGGGTTGTCTTTGGTCTCCACCTTGAGGTTACAACTGTAACAGGGCAAGGAAAAGGGCCTTCTCATTTCACGTTCTGTGTTTGTAGACTGTCTTTTCTGAGGTTGGTCTCAGTGGAATCCCTTCAGATTGTTTAGATCTCAGTGCAAGGCATTATTTGGGTGGGTACCTTTAGCACCATGTATTTTATTCCTCTATTTTGGGCTTTTTGCCACCTGCTCTTCCTTGCGGGTATTTTTATGTTGGCTGCTTGTACACATGCCAGTATGGAGAAATCCACGTGCCACGGGTGTGCAGTCCAAGTTAAAACTTAGTTGTTCCACTCTTGAGGATGCTTTAATTGTACCGTGAGCACCATTAACACTTCATTTTACTTACATGCCAAATTGATACCTAGAACTTCAAGGTGGTGACCTTTTGAAGGTGGTAGTGAGATCTTTCTCACTGGTATGGTGGCCGTTCATGATACTGCATGAGTCTCTGAGGTTCGTAAAGGTAGCTGCTGCTCATGTTGTATTACCAGAGTGCACAGCAGCCTCTGATTTCAGTGGTCACGTTTGCTTGGTTGTTGTTAGGTGGTATCTCCAGTAGAACCCTTCAGAGTCTACTTTGCCTAGAATTTGTGGTGTGTTTCTTATTCTCTGATGCTAACAGTTCAGTCCTTAGCTGCTAACTGTCAGAATCCTAGACAGCTAGTGTAGACATGGATAACAGAGAGGTCTCCTTTTTCCAGTTCTGTGTTGGACATGTGCAGCTATGTGAATATGACCTGGACCAACAACAGGGCTCAGTGCTCCTGAGAAGCAAGAGGCAGATATTCTTCCGCACATATATGTGGGTCTGGCAGTTGAGATTAAACACCATCAAATCCCCCGGCCTCCTGGGTATGGGGGAGAGGTTTCTGCACAAGTGAGAGTTAAGGGCCTAACTGCCATTTGTGCCTATGGAAAGCCACCCCCCTAGATCACATGTGGATTACATTTTAATACAGTTGTGGACAATCCTACCCACACCCTCCCCTTCACGGTCAAATAATGTTCCTGTGGCAACTACAGCAATTACTGTTACATGGCATTCTGCAAGTATGTTAATATTGCTGTCCCTTTTTGATCTGAGTGGCTAGTCAAAGTTTTGCAGGCTTGGGGATGTTCCAGTTGGAAGTAGAAATTGGTGGAGCCTGGTGTTTTCTTTGCAGTTTTGTTACATTACAAAAAGAATCAACAAAGTGCGGTTTCTCTGAATGCAGAAGGAAACAAATAGCAGGAAACAGCTTCTTTTGCTCAGCACCAAGAACGCTCTTTTAGCCGGCCCCTCTGGCCCAAAAAACCTCGCCCCAGGGTCACCCGCCAGGCTCTCAGCTGCTTTTTAGGTGAGCGCGCTCTCTCGCTCTTTCCCAGTTTTTCTGTTCTGATTTCCCACACCCAAAACAATACGCAGCCAAAAGCTCCTGGACAGGTTCCCATGCAGCCTTTGCCTTACAGGAGGGTTTTAACTCAACCCATAACAAGATTCCATCCAGCTCAGAACAATATATTTTTAGCTGTTTCTTAATGGAAATTTAGCAGCTGGAAAATAAGGAGGCCTGGCAGGGGGAGGGATAGCTGAGTGGTTTGAGCGTTGGCCTGCTAAACCCAGGGTTGAGTTCAATCCTTGAGGGGGCCATTTAGGGATCTGGGGCAAAAATCTGTCTGGGGATTGGTCCTGCTTTGAGCAGGGGGTTGGACTAGATGACCTCCTGCGGTCTCTTCCAACCCTGATATTCTATGATTCTATAAATCAATGGCTGTCGGTAAAGGTTGATTTCAGCTGGTGCTGAAATCAACAACAACAAAAATCCATCAGTAACCGTCAGCGTGAGTGAAGCCTCCTGGCCCTGCATCTTGCACCTGCAGGGATTGGTGCTACTGGCCATGCAGGTAGCTCTGCTGCAGAGGAACCACAGAGGGTTCCATGCAGAGCCATGGGGCTGGTGACACTGGATCCCTGCAAACACAAGGTGAGCAGAAGACTGCGGTCCTGGTGGGGCAGGGCAGAGACCAGCAGCCAGGGCTGTGAGGAGGAGGGTGAGCCCCCCAGCTGTGGGGGAAGTCACCCTGCTGTTGAATGGCTCCTGCCTGGGGATGGAGCCAATCAGCAGCGGGGTGGCCTGCCTCATCACTGGGGGCTTGTCGTCCTCCTCGCAGTCCCAGCCGGGGGTCTCCACACTGCCAGACCAGGTCCACAGCTTTCCCCGCACCTTGCAGCTGGATATTCTGGGCCCCACAGCTGTGCAGGGAGCCCCTTGCAGCCTTACTGTCATGGCCGCCTTAACCCTTCCCCCCACTCTTAATTTCCTACAACTGTAAACATTAAAATAAAAAAATCGATATTAATCATTGAAACCAGGGAGAAAAAAAAAACTAATTCTGCCTAGCCTAGGAATAAGGAAGGGGAGTCTCCTGCTTTCTCGCCACAGTGTGAGAACTTGTCCTTCAGATAAGACATTACTAATAGGGGCTGGATAGTATTTTGCAGACATGCACAAACACTACATTGAAAGAACATTAGTAAGGTAGCCTAGTCAAGCACTCAAAAATTAGCAAATGTGTGGTTCATTCAGCCTTAATTTGCCCCCCTTGTGCATATCCACTATGACAGTCTCTAATTACATAATTACACAAAAAAACCCACTATTTTGTCATGTGGGTTTTTTTGTGTGTCATTTCCTCTTTTGTGGGGTGTTTTTAAAGTAAACTGAAAAAAATAGAAATTGCAATATGTGACATCATACTGACACCCACGTGGGCTCATGAGCAGGATTCGAACCTTTAGATCTTCTGCCCAGACTTCTGCCACTTGAGCTAAAGGAGTAACTGATAGCAGTAGTAGGTTGTCATCATCTATGTGTACCAACACTAGAGGGGGATCAGACGCACGCTTTGCCAGTGGTGTTCACAGCTGTTTGCTGACAGCAGAGGAATGGTGAGGCTCTGTAATCTTGGGTTTCATTATAGGCTCTGGAGGGGAGTGTTTTCTAGTAGTCACAGATAATTGCATCTCCCCTCACTTCCCTTCCCTCCCCAACCATGACCCTGTATGTCCTATCCCCTCCAATCTGTTCCTGTCCCAGTCCTCTCTTCGCCTTTCCAGCTCCTTGTACCAGTCCCATTGCCCTTGCCCAGCCAGTTCTAGTTTTCCCCCTCCAGGTTCCTTGTCCGATTTGTCTTTTCCCTCCCTCCCCACTCAGTCTCCACCCCCCAGTCCCTTCTCTGTTTCTTTGCTGATCCAGTGGTAGTTCTCCCCGTTTCCTTGTCAGATCGGTTTCCTGTCCTCCAAGCCCCATTTCTCCCCCCCGGCACATACACACTGGTTCTTAGTTCCAGTCTTCTTGGCAGCCAGTCCCAGTCTCTCCCCCAGCTCCTCACCAATCTGTGTCATATTCCCCCCCAACCCTCCCCCCCAACAAACTAGCTCCCAGTTTCTTTGCCCAACCAGTCCCAGTCTCCCCTGTCCCATACTCCCCTGGTTCCTAATCCCAGTATCCATGTTCAGCCAATTTCAGTCTTTGCACACACCCCTCCTGCTCTGTCAGTTTCCTACACCCCCTCCAGCCTGGCCCCACCCTGGACTGGAGCAGTAATTGCAAGGAAAGCTTCACCTCTGTAGGCCTATACTAGACGGCCCATGCTCTGTCACTCGGTGGGGGTGGCACATGTGTGGTCTGGCCAGCAGTAGGAGCTGTGAGGGCTTGGAGCATGCTCAGTGAGGACAGAATCATTGAAGATTATAGCTGCTAAAATTGAAGAAGTTTCTCCCAGGCAGGTGAAAATTATATTACATTTTTGCCAAATTTGGACAGATTTTCATAGAGACTGCGAAATCCTGATACAGAGGCCTACCTCCCTCCTCGCCCTTGCCATATTTTAAGTCCCTGATCTAAAGTATGGTGGTGCTCACCCTTTTGAAAGAAATGGTTACTAGAATTTTTGACATGAGCAAAACAAAACCTCAGCCTGGTACTTGAAAATGGCTAAACCATTTTGGCTGGTTTCTAAATTCCATCAGAGGCAGACACTTGGCATGGACAATTTCAGCCCGAATGATTAAAGTTTGGCAAAATTATAAGCAGCTGAAAATAGGATCTTATAATGGGAAGTGTCAGGCCACCTTAATAATATCAGGAATATTTTTGCAGGACAGGCACTGTCTAACATTGAAAAACGAGCACCCGCAGCTGCCATTGACTTGGAGTTGTGGGCCCTTAGTCCTACAGAAAATCAGGTGAAGAGTGTGCTGCTCATCCAGTTGTTGTTGGGGTTTTTTAAGAGAAATTCTGAGCTTTTCTCGCAGTCACGGGATGGCTCCACTGCAGCAGAAGCTGTAATTCACACTGCATTGCATCAGGGGAAGGTTCTTCGAAACTGGCACAGCATCTCTAATTAATATTGTGGCTTGAAACCGTTTCCTCTTTAACACCTCTGCTCAGCAGGTCTGACAACATTCCCTTAGACACATACGGCAAAATGCCTAGTGCCTTCAATGGGAGCATGACGGGGCCTGTTCTAAAACTACTGCAGTCCTGTTGTACCCACATCCGTTTCAAAGGCTTAAGCAATGGTGTTTGCGCAGAATTCAAGGTGACAAAAGCTAAGTGTGCGAAACCATTTGCTATGATTTCTAAGTCTACTTGGTTTGTGTGGCTGTGGACAAGCACATTTTAAGTCAGATTAGCTGAAACACGACTAGGCTGTTTCAGCAGATCGTCTGCTGTATTAGAAAGTAATGACGGGATGGACAACTTGATGTTTCACAGGAATCTGCCTACAGTAGAATTCATGCTATCCAGTGAAGTTGTTCAGCAGTCAGCAGGCAGAAAGGAGAAATCTCAGGGCATTTTCCATGGCTGTGTTTATGCTAGATTTTCCAGCCGTGATTGAAGGGGGCTGTCAAATGCGGTTCCTCGCTCAGCCATTACTATACTCTGCTGTCCTGTTGGTATAGGTAAAAGTCAGCTGAGTTCACTCAGTGTCAATAGCATTGTCTCTAAAAACAAACAAAAAACCATGGTGGACTGATTTGCTATGATGGGCGCTGATCACTGTTGATCCTTCCACATCAGCAGTACAACAGAATGCAACACAGCATATAGCCTGTGTGGGTTTTTTTTTTCCTCTCTCTTTTTCCTCCCCTCAAAACTACGGAGCAGCGCCAGCTCCCATTGTATTAAATGAGGACAGCGGATGCTCAGCATCATCTATAAACTCAGTTAGTTTTGTGTGGGGAGGACATGCTGAAAGGTCCTAGCGCAGATTCAGCTTGTGGCTCAAAACATCTGAGTTTGGATCCTCCTTTGGAATGTCTTTCAACTTGTTCTCGCTTCATGTAGAGTTTATAAGCCTCTTCTGAGAGTCTTGACTTGGTCAAATGCAACAAAGTCTTGGGGCGTCTTCACGCCAAAGTCTCTGTATGAATGGTGCTGCTACTCGGACGGCCATTCGCCAGCCACTTGGCACCATTTCACCAAGTAAGACGGCACTGTGGTAGTCTTTGTATTCCATCTCAAGGACCCTTCTGCGTCCTATAGTTGGAGCTTGCTTGTATGTCTCAATAACACATCTTCCAAACAGAAGTATTGTGAAGGAGTGCTGGGTCATGGGCTTTTGCATGCAGCTGGATTAACAAGTATACATCTTTTATCTTCTCTTTACATGATAATTTAAGATAAACCTTGGTTTTCTTTATTCTTGGCACTATATAGATATGGAAGAAGCTAAGGTAGTGGGCCCAAAGAGTTTGCAGTCTGTAGCTGAGAAAGAATCTTGCTCTGTGAAATAAAAACAACTCTTAGGTTCTGTCCACATTGAGTCCTGACATGTTTAAGCATGGTTTTAAATCACTTCATGCTAAACTGATTTTAATATGGATTCAGCTGTCATAGGGTTAGGCCTAACTGTTTAAACCACTTCAGTGTGAAGCTAAAATAACTGCTTCAGGAATCATGGTTTTTAATGGCTGTATTACAAGAATAGATAGGGTTGGAGGGGTGCGAGTCACCCTGTAGGAAGTAGCATGCGCTTCTGGTTTTATACTGACTTTACCAGCTGTCCATGTTACAGAGAGATATGTTGGACTCAAATGGGAAAGTAGAGCGAGCCAATCATAGCATTGTCTGCCAATTCCTTTATGGCAATCCCAGATTTCTGGTAGGAGGGAAGTGTTTTTAACTATAATCTATTTCTGCTGTAACAGAATTTATAGAAATGTTGAATTCTTATATGGCAAGAATGGGGGGAAATATAACTGTCTAAGAATTAGCTGCTTCTGAACTAGATGCATGCAGAGGTGTGTGTGGGGGAGAGGGGGTTGTTTTGTCTTTTCAGGGGTGGTGAGTGAGAGAATTCTAATAATCTGATACTTCTATCCATCTTCAGTGCCATTTTTTGTTTAATCCACTATTTGGTTGCAAAACTTATGTTTTGTAAACTTACAACGACGGAACGAGAACAGCCTCAGAATTCTCTTTGGAGTTCCTGTCACAGAGCACTATTCCTCTAGAGCCTGAGAGAGTTTTCTGAGCTTGGTTTGCTGTTCTAGGAAATATAACTCTAGATATTTTTTTTGCATATTCATAGTCATCAGCAATTTTGATAGCAAAATTAAAACAGAAGACATTAAACAGGTGACTTTTGCTTGCCTCCTTAAGCTTTATTGCAGACAGTCCTGGATCTTCTGGTCATATTCCATATTTAGATTTATAGGGTATCCCAGAACAGTGGTCCCGGTTTGCAAAGGAGGAATGTAGAACTCCTCTCCCCTCCCCCGCATTTCCCCCCAGTTGATTTAAATTTGAATATTTCTCTGATTGGCGAATCTAAACCCATTTTTTCCTAAATTCTGGGAATGGGAGTTCTGAGGATTGAGTTTGTGGACTCTCACTGGGGACTCTCAAACTAACAAAAAATCCCCAGCAACAAGTTACAGTGGTTGTTTGCAGTTGTGGGTTCTTCTCTCTGAGGTGACTGGCTTCTGTCAGAATCTGATCTCCTTTGAAAAAAAGGTGATAAAGCAAGTTAAGCCTCTAGGTACTTTGGAGCTGTTTTTTGATGGATGATGATGTTACCTGGCCCATGCTATGGTTAGAAAGACCTCCTTGGCATACAGATTTAGGGTGAGATTTTCAAAAACACGGATGGTTGGTCTAACTCTGCTTCTGTTGAAGTCAATGGGAGTTGATGTCAATGGAAGTCAAGTTAAGTTAAAGCTGATTGGTTTTGAAAATCCCACACTCAGTTAGTGAATTGTCTTTATTTTCATATAACGCCACTTCACCAATCCTAAATTTAGCACAGGCTAGACTCTCCATGAGTTACACTCCATCTCCTGGAAGCCAAAGGAACCACACTCTCAGACGATATCACTGCTCCCATAAAGCCTTCATAACTACTCCTTGCCCAGCAAATCTTCCTTTCTTATTTTTCCTCCACACTTTCCTTGGGACTTTAATAGACGCAAATAATTTATTACCTACTTAATAATACTAGCGAGAGCCATGCTACTTCTGCTGTTTCCTAAAGCCTTTTTCATGCTGCTGAGAAAGTTGAACAAACACTACTCTTTAGTATCAGAGTGGTAGCCTTGTTAGTCTGTATCCACAAAAACAACGAGGAGTCTGGTGGCACCTTAAAGACTAACAGATTTATTTGGGCATAAGCTTTCGTGGGTAAAAAACCCACTTCTTCAGATGCATGGAGTGAAAATTACAGATGCAGGCATAAATATAACTGACACATGAAGTCAGTATATTTATGCCTGCATCTGTAATTTTCACTCCATGCATCTGAAGAAGTGGGTTTTTTACCCACGAAAGCTTATGCCCAAACTACTCTTTAGTGGACCCCCGTTGAATAACTAACTAACTTTATTATAATTTAGTTCAATTTTAAATATCACTTGTAAATGTAACAGATATAAAATCACTCACCTCTTAACTGTATGGGCAGCACTGATATTTAACAATCACTGTTAAATATTTGCACTAGTCTGCAAAACCAATAAGTTGTTGTTGTTTGCCTATCCTAGGTTTACCTATGGGCATGCTGGCACTGTCTACAAGGAATTTGTTTATATCTCCGGGGGCCATGATTACCAAATTGGTCCCTATAGAAAAAATCTCCTCTGCTATGATTACCGAACAGATGTCTGGGAGGAAAAGCGGCCAATGATCACTGCTCGGGGGTGGCACAGCATGTGCACCTTGGAGGACAATATCTATTCCATTGGCGGCAGTGATGACAACATAGAAACTATGGCACGCTTTGACATTCTGAGTGTGGAGTCTTACAGCCCTCAGTGTAACCAGTGGACCAGAGTCTCTCCCTTGTTTCAAGCAAACAGTGAGTCTGGAGTGGCAGTCTGGGAAGGCAAGATTTATATTCTTGGAGGCTATAGCTGGGAAGACACTGTCTTCTCCAAAACTGTCCAGGTGTATGACAAGGAGAAAAACAAGTGGTACAGAGGAACTGACCTTCCCAAAGCTATTGCTGGTGTGTCTGCGTGCGTCTGTGCATTGAAACCCAGAAAGGAGGACAAAAAGAAAAAGACAAAAACGAAGAAGCATCAGGATCGGGGAAGATGACACAGCTTGGGAACCTTGTAACTAATCATCTCTTTCTAATCTTCATTTAAAAGAAAAAAAAAAAAAAGGAAAAAAGAAAACAGTTTCTGAAACCTTAGAGAACATGTGGTCGAACATCTTTGGGTGAGGGTCACGTGAAGGTAACTGCTACTACTGAATGGTGGTGAGGTTGCAAAGGGTGCTATGCTACCTGTTCTGTACATTTAGGTGTAGACTGTTACTTCCGTGGTTCTTAGCTTTTACACACTTATAATAATAATAAAAGTAAACATTTTAAAAAATTGAAAACTTTTTGGCTTAGAAAATTAAATGATGGGGAGGGAAAAGAGGACCAAACATCGGTTTGAAGTTACAAAGAGAAGTCTAGAGGCAGTTGCTATTGAAAACTGATATGGATCTTGTTGTAAACCCTGATTATTTTTTTTCATTAAATTTTAATTTACAATACTTTCTAGAGTTGTGAGTAAAAGATTTCTGGTATGCATGAGTAGCCATTCAAATTATATCTATGCCCAGGCATCTTGGTAAGCAAATGACACTTCTGTACTCTTAAGTTTCAGAGGATATTATTAAGTGACCAAAGTGTGAGTGCTCTGGTCCAGACATGGCCATGTAACTGATCTGTGCTCAGTTTGTGAGCTCTGCTGGTCTTTCCAGTGGTGCAATGATCTACAAGATCCAGGGGAGGTGACACAACCTTTATGTCACTTGTTAATGACTAGAACTGTGCACAACTTTCATAACAAAACCCAATACCAAGTTTGGTTTTGTTGATTTCTCCTAGTTCAGGACTAGGCTTTTTAAACTTGTGGCTTTGGGCAGAAGTTACATAGAACTTGGTCCTTACTTTAAACCAGGTGAGACAGGTAGACTTCACTGTGAGTTATTGGGGGTGGGGAAGGGAAGGTGTTGACATCAAAAGCTCAAAATGAACTCAAGACAAAGAGCAAACTCATTCTACAAGGGGCAATGGGCTGGGGCGGGGGAGGAGTTTGCAGGAGCTGGGAACTGCTGAATTTAGCCTGGGTCTAGCAATGATGACCTCTACCAGTCAGTGCAAGGGGCCATTAGCAGACTCTGGATGAGAATCTAACCCAGCCCTCCTTGGTCAGGTGGCTGCAACACTGTTCCTCTTGGAAGAATGGGCTTAACATGGGGAAAAGTTGTGGTGGATTCTTGGGATGCCATTTGGGGCACAGATGACTGAACTGGTGGGAGAATCATATATTGGAGTAATATCAAGGGAATTTGACTCATGCCCACCACACTAAAGAAATTTTGATTGTAAACCCTGCCACTGCACTTTCACACAAGACTGTTTAAAACAGCACTGGGTTAAAGTGCACCAGCAGGATTAACACAGACTGACTAATGCACAACATGTTTGTGTGCTTTAGAAATCACACCCCTGTAGAGTGCATTATCCACCGTGTACAATCCTTCTGTCATTCCACCTTCCACTGGCAGGGTTGTGTCTACTGCAAGTATTTAAATTTACCAACTCTCTGGCCAGCCTTCAAGCAGTCACCCAAAGCAGTTTACAAATGGGCCTTTTGTTTGATTTGCAAGAAGTTAAGAACCAGCCACCTCATACAGTCTCTGTAATTTTTATAATAACAATTAATAATATTTCCAGGCCACAGATTACTCTCTCATCCCAACACAAAGAAATTTTTAGAAATTTTTGAAACTTTTGTACTTTTTATAACACATTTTGCTAATACCTAGTCTCTAGTTTGCCATATTATGTTATTTACTATTGAAGTTCCTGCCTATAATCGTGGTCCTGTTGTTATAGTCAGGAACTCATAATTTGTTGGCTCTTTCAGGCTTTGTGTATAGTCAGTTGTGATGTGATGCAGCTGTTAAAGCAGCATTTACATTCTCAGCATTGTCAGGTCTATAATTGTGACTATTGTAAGGCTTTCACTGGCAGTTCAAATAGTCAGACATGCTGATAAATGCTCTTTTATTGTCACTCGGTGATCCACTGAGTGGATTTCAAGAGCCTTGATTTAAAGTTCTGCTTTGGTGCTATTGATCCATTTTCTCTAAATCCTTCCAAGTCCCTCTCCATCCACATCTCCATCACTGTGCAACATAACCATGTACTTCAGATCTGCCTTTTTCCTTTAATCCCATGTATAAGGGATGTCCTGCCTACTTTTTGCTACTGGGGTGTATTTGCCTCATTAATGTGAAAATTCTTCTAAGAAAAACTTGTTTGCACTATAAAAGAAAAATAATTTTCAACATCATTTGGAGTTTGGGGAATTTGGGGTCCTCTTTATCCATCGATAGGAATCAATTTTTTTTTTTTTTTAAATTGGAAGTGGTACCTTGTGAATAGCTGGAATGAAAGAAAGGAAACAAATGATGCTGTTGACACAAAAAGATTTGAAGAAAACTGGCTTGAGGTATATAAGTTGTAAAAATCCTCTAGATATCTTTGAGTGTTTCTCTTAAACAATAGAAACTATTAAATTTAACAAGTTACAAAAAGCCCTCTATGTGCAGTAATGATACCTTTTACATTGCATGAGGAAATAGTTATTTTTTAATTGTTCCTAAAAAAAGATAATGGAACGTTTTAGTTAGAACAAACAGATTAGCTGATTTAGGTATCTGAAAACTTGTTTGTTGACTGGCAACTCCTACTTCATCTTTGTACAACCCTTTTCATGTGTAAATACACAACAATGATTCCCCAAGATGCTTCTTTGTTTCTACTAATTGGCTGCTTTTCATATTTTTTTGTCTGTTTTAATTGTATATGCTTGTGTGTTACATTCTTGATGTGTTTACAATTTGAAAAATAAAACATGTTAAGAATTTCAGACTTTATTCCTCTTTGTGTGCATTGTTTACACCCTAACTGTTTTTTTCTCTTTATTGATAACCGGAAAGGTAGTAATTCTTTTTGTAACTATTTCAGAGGTAGTCTCAACAGTGTGAGCACAAACTTTTTAAATTGGACAAGGTATAGGTGGTAGCTGGTTCTACTGTGGCTCAATTAATTACATTTTGAGGGAGCAGAAGCACACTAATTTGTGTCCGGCTAATCCAAACACACCAAAAAATGGTTGATGTTGCCCCCATTTCTCAGCAAAGCATTTGATAGTCAAAACATAGAGGACCCAGTTCAGTTTCTAATGGAGTCAAAAAGAATATTTCACTGAGTTGGATCAAGCCCTAGTGAATCCATAATATAAAACTTAATTGGTTATGCAAAATATAAGCCCAGTATTACAAACTCTTAGTGGAGGGAGTAACCCTTATTCACATAGCACTATGGAAGTCAGGGGCTACTCATGAGAGTACTTGCAGGATCAGATGCTATTTCAGAATATTTTGGGGTGTACTATGCATTATTTACATAAATAATTTACACCTGTCAAAAGAACAGATTATTACTATTTGTAGCTACAGACCTTAATGGGGGGTCAAGACTCCTAATGAAATTGGTATCTGTCTACTTATTTGTATGGCCTCCTCGCCTCATGAAATACATATTAGTAGGGTTATTGACCTATGGCACATTGCATTTTAAAGTGACCTGTAAACACAGCTTCTCCATACTGAAATACTTCGGAATAAGACTCTCACTCTATGATGTCCTGGGATCCTTGCTAAAGCAAGACGTGTATCTCCCAGGAGGAACATTTCTACATGCAGTGACACTGAATTCACACTTTTGGGTATTTTCGTAAACTAAATGGGTATTTTGCCAATCAACCAGAAAAGCTTGGTTGAGGATCAGAAGGAGAGTAGAAGAGTGGAAGGTAGAATATTGTGTTGTCAGAAACCTTCTGTGCCCATCGCTTTCACAGACTTCATTTGTGATCTTTGTAAATCACATAACTTCTCCTTGCTTCGGTTTCCCCTTCCACAAAAATGGGGATAAGTAACTATTTCTTCTCATTTTGAGAAGGCACCTAATACAAAGTGCTATAGAAGTTCAAGATTTTTATTCAAGCCAGCTATCAAAATGCTCTCTTCCTTTCTTTCCCATACAAATACACCCTGGCATTACCATGTAAAGGAATGAATGTTGGTAAAGTCAATATTGGTAATAAAAATGTCGTGGGGCACCCTGAGGAAAAGTTACACAAATCACCCCAGGTCAATATATGCTTTTGATCTTACCCCAAAATCATGCTGCAGCCAATTCCTTTAGTAATTAAACTAAAGGTTTATTAATAAAACAAGAGAGTTACTAAATGGTTAAAGGAATCATATACCTTACAATTGATTTCAGAGTCTGTAGGTCAGGATAATACGCATTGATGGTGAGTCTACTGGCTTGCAGTAAGTCTCTCTGGATTGGGGCTCATCAGTCCTTTGTTCAAAGCTTCCTTGTTAGAAATCACAGTCCAGAGAAGTGGAGCAGAATGGAAGACCAAGATGTGCTGCTGTCACAGTCTCCTCTTTTATACTTTCAGCCCAAGTGCCTGGAAAGTTACTGGCAAAAAGATGGAGTCTTAGATCATGTCTTTACATGCCTTATTGAGTCCTTGGGCAGCCAATGCCTCAGTTTTCTGTGAAACGTCTCCAGGAGGGGTTCACTGGGCAACCTGATTGTCCTTAATGAGACATCAAGCAAGCTAGCTGGCAAATCTATCTTGGGGCATCACCCAAGAAAACATGTTTGAGATACAACCCAGCAAATATTAATAACTTCATATACAAAGATGGATTTAAACAGAATAATACTTAGCAGTCTATAACTTTTCCATTCATACCTTACAAGGCATACTTTGTACAAGATTTATCACCATTGTGCAACAATGGTGATACATTAGTGTAAACAATGTCACGCCCCCTACATGCAGCAGTGGTTGCTCTTTTGATAAAGTGTTCTCATATAAGCAGTTAGAGCAAGACTAAAGGGGACCAGAGGGTGAAGCAGAAACTGAAATCGAGGACAATAATCTGCTGCCTTTTGCCTACTTCAGTCCATTCTGTTCCTACCACTTTGATCAAAAATAGGCAGTCCACACTGTGTAAAAGCTTCCTTTATCCTGTAGACCAGATGCAGTTTCCAGGGTTCCCCGGTGGATTTGACATTGTCAGGTGAATGTTGCAGCATCTCGTTGAGCTGGCAATCTGTAGCTGGACGGGACTTCAGGGGGTAGAAAGGTAAATTCACAGAATGGTAAATGCTGACATACTTGCCCCCCAGTTTTTAAGATTATGGTGGGCCTAATGATGAAGGGAATTGAGAGGTGCAAGAGAGGCTAGGAGGTTGAGATTGTGACAATGCTAAAATAGACTGTTTTGCACAAGAAGGGGCTTGAATTTAAGCTAAGGTAGGTTGAGATACTAAAGGGATTTAATCAGGAATTCTTTACAGAGAATTAAAACATGGAATAAAGTGACACAAACATCTACATGAGCTACTAACCAATGTTTACAAAAAGAATTAGAGGATCATAGGGAAGAGAAGCTGTACTGAGTCTGTACAATTGCTAAAGCATAGGAGCGGAGCTAGGTCTTACTGATGAAAATGGATCCATTGTTTGTACTATTTGGAAGTCTTCATGCTGAATGTTAATGAGCATAACAAGCACAGGGTGAGTGGATTTTTTGCATTAACTATTTCGAACAGATAAAAATGGAGAATAAGCAGAATTAAAGGAAGAGACTTTCTTCCAGCCACTGAAAGTTTCTTTTTTCCAAAGGGTG